CACACAGTAACAGTGGGCACGGCAGAGACGGAACAGAGACTGTAGTGATTTACCGAAACAAAAGAAAAAAAAAACAAAAACGAAGCAAAAAGGAAGCAAAAAACAAAAACATTTGATTCGGCAGATGTGTCATTTCATGTGCCACGCAGCACAATACAACCGTGTTCTTGAGTTTGTACATACTGCCCGCACACACACAAATAAAAAAGGAATTGTACTCTCCCACCAGCCCACACAACATCCCTCACATTCCATGCGGCATCCGGCCTGCTCCTCCACTCCTCCTTTCGTGCAGTCCGTGGGACGCACAGCAATGAGGCCGGCACCGCGTGTGGGCAAAAAAAAGCAAACAAAAGAGGGAAAAACACGTCACTCGTGACGGTGTTTAGCAAGCGACCATTTGCGGGAAAACACACAAATAGGAATGCTGATTATTTCAACAGAGCACCAACAAAAAAAAAAAAAAAAAACGGAGCACCAAGAAGAAACAACAACAGAAAACAGAAAACAGAAAAAAAAAAGAAAAAAACCATAAAAAAGAAGAAGAAAAAGAAAGTATCCTTGACAAAGTTGAGTGAGTGATGCTGGGAGCTGCACAGTTGTTGTTCCACGAAAAGCCGCTATTCCACTCCTCCCTCAGACCTCAGCAGAGAGCCGCAGTGCCCCACAGCCCCAGAAGCAGCAGCAACAGCACCCGAGACACACACCCGTGCACGGTGCTGTCACCAATTAGAGTCATGGCCGACAAGTCGAACTGCCCGTTCTCAAGCAAAATGCCATGTTCCGAGAGCGATGTTGCGTTGGACTCCGATGGGATCTTGTTTTTCCCAGGCGCTGTGCTTGTATTACCCGGTGCGGCATCATCGCCATCCAACACTTCATCATGGCCTTGAGCAGTTTCCGGGTCTGTGCTGGGCTCATGGGCGGCTGTGGCACCGTCCACGGGCGTCACCTCAGTGCTGTGGAATGAGTCGGGGCCGCTGCTCGCACCCACAGCAGTGTGGGGATTTGTGTCCTTCCTCTCCTCGGGGTCAACGGTTTGTTCGTCGCTGGTGAGCGGGGCGGAATGGAATGACGACTCTTCCACGTCCTCTGAAGCATCAGATAGAGTGCTGTGCTGCGGCCGTTCTTCAGTGGTTTTCCTCTGCGGAGTGGCGACAACCACCTCTTCAGCCTGCTCCGTCATCGGCTGAACCACGCTGAGAGACGAGTGCTCCTGTTCACTTTCAAAGTGATCCTCGCCGGAAGACACATCGGTTTCACGTGCTTTTTGAGGACTGTCTTCTCCCGCTGTTGGAGAGAATGAGGACGCCGAGCCAACACTGCCGGATGCCACATCTTCCACTTTCCCCTCGGCGGCTGAGGTGGACGAGCCAGCGGGATCAGCAGAAGGTGCCTGCCCGGAACCTGCTGAATGCTTTTCATTTTTTGATTTTTCCGGTGATAAGTCTTGTTTTTGTGGTGATGGTGTGGCGTCTTTTTCAGAGGGTTGACTCAAATGACTGTTTTGAGGCGCACCTTTTGGGGCCGACACCTCCGCCTCTGGAGCAGCGGCCACGTTCCTCTTCTTTAGTGGGTTGAGCTCATTATCTTTCAATAAGCGGTTGTACAGCAGGACGTTGCACACCGTCACATGAACGTTGCCCGAGTTGCTCTTGCCGTCCCCGCCAATGTAAAAGTGCGAGATGCTGTGGGAGCTCAACAGTTTTTGTAACTTGTGAGAAAAGCTCTTATAGATATCCTCAACTTCATAATCATCGGTGTCGCATATCCTCTTTCCATCCACGTACACAAACAGCCCATTATTATAATCCATTTGCAGTACCACATGATATTTCGTGTTTGCTTCCCATCCGGCATTCTCATCATGCGCCGGCAGCGTCAAACGACTGCCGTTGAAGATTATCCTCCACTTTTTGTCGTGGGTGTACGACAGACCAAAAAGCACCGTGCCTTGTGCATCGTTCATCCTCACACCCATCAAAGGGATGGGGCTGCTGCCTGTCTCCGGAGCCTTATCGATGGACACCGTCGCCACAAGAGTAAACCTAGAGTTCGCAAAGTGGTACGGCACATTCTGCCCCATGCCGCCAACAGGCCACTCCGCCCACGCTCCGGGTCCTTTGAACGTCAATCCACCATCAGGAGTACTTTCCACTTTCCCGTGAACGGTTGCATTCACGCAGAGGTACTCGTCTGCCCACGTGCTCTTAGTTGACTTGTTGGATAAGAGGCCAACCAGCCCTTTGGTGAGGTCACCATCATCACAGTCACGTCGTTCATTTGCATCCTTTTCATTCCCGCAGCCGTATTCCTTCGCAATTTGCGCGTCCTTCTCCTTCCATGCAGCCAACACCTTCCTCATGTCCTCCAACTTCTCCGTCAAGTCCACAAAAGCAATGTTGTACTTACCGTCCTCTGCAGCAGCGACCTCGTAAGAGCAGTACAGTTTCTTCTCTTCTTTCTCTTCTTCCCCTTCCAATGACGGCGCTTCGGCCGTGGCGTACAGCAGAGTGCTGGCGGCAACGTTCTCATTCTCAGCGGATATCGGTCCAACATCATGAATTCGCTGCATGTCCGTCAGCCACAAGTGAAGTCGACCCGTTTCTTGTTTTCCCTCCTCCCCGGAATATACCGGCTGGCTGACGAGGATGACTTTCTGTTCATCGATCGTCGCGCTAACGAAGCCACCCTGCACGCCGTGCCCAGTACGTTTCAGCGAGTTGCCCCACACGCGTGAAAGAGTGTCGTATTCCTCCGTCCACCGATTCCCCATGGTGCTTGACAAGTAAACCCTGCGGCTGCCGTCCTCACACGACGTCATCATGAGAAGACTTTTATCCTTCCATTCAAGAACCGCAGGCTGGATGCATCCCTCATCACTCGTACCATTTGAAAACTCCCAGCCATAAGTAAAACCTTTGGCGAGGATAACCAACGAAACGTTCTTTCCATCATTGGTCAAGGCTTGAATAGGCAGCACGTAGCGACTTTCTTCCTCCATCCTAATGCCCGCGCCACCACCACCCAGGAATTGTTTGAAGCGTTTGGGGTTGGTGCTGTAATCCCCCCAAATGTCATAAGGAACTCCTGACGTGCTTTTAATTCCCCAATTAAACTCCTTCTTTTCCTCATCGTCATCGTCATGCGGAATCAAACCACCAGCTGCTATCCTGGGCGCCCAATATCCATCACCAGTCACCTCCGTCAATGGAGCCGTTGACTTGCCATAACCCCCGACAAGAGCATTTGTTTCATCATTATTACCATTCACAAAGGTTGTTGGGCTCAACAGGCGGTCAATTTTCACGTCGTAATGATCAAACACGATGGCAGTTCCATTTGTCCACTCCCCTCCATCGCATTTCATCGACTTTGCAGCAAGACTGACACACGATTTTTTATCCGTGGTGTTTGTGTAATGCGCTTCAACAGTGGCCACAACAACACCATTCACATAAACAAGAGAAGGTGCACGGAACGAGCCAAACGCCTGTACCAAATTTTCAGTCTCTGGATCATTAAACAAATCCCCTCCTTTAAAGATGATTCCGTTCCTTGGGTTACTCGCCTCAGCGGATGCAGCACCACTGCCAGAGCACATCATCAAGAGGAGAAGCAGCACCGCAGAATGGAAGAGATGCCGGGACATGTTAGGCCTCTGATGCCCACTCTCTCCTTCCTTCCTTCCTCCTTTCGCTGGATCCGGCCACGCGAGTACGGTTGTGTGTGCGGGGTGCCTTCACAGCAGCAACGCTTGAGAGTATATTAATGCGTGTGTGTGGGCGGTGTGTGTGTGTACTGTTGTTGTTCCTTTGAGAGCCCTCAGAGTGCACAGTAGCGATTCGCGCTTGTTTTACTTCCTTTTTTTTGTGTGTGAAAGAAATGAAAAAAGTCATGGAGGAGAAACACAGCGAGTTGCAAGGGAAACCAGTGCGCACCGGCAGCAGCCACGCACCATGGACGAGGAGAAGAGACCCACCGCCTCCAGAACATTCTCACGGCCAACGGGATGCGGCCACATCCCCGCAGCCAACACACAACGCACCCGGAGCGAGCACCCACCCCGCCAGCCACACGTTGAAGTGGGTCCTCACCCATCCACCAGTCACGCGGCGCCCTACTCCACGCAGTCACACGCGGTGCACCACACCATCAGGAAAAGAGACTCGCGGCGCGCGCTCCCTCTCCCCTCTCTTATCTTCATGCCCACGGAAAAAAACAACAGCCGCACGCAACTGCCAGCACAGAGTGTGAGTGGGCCAGCCAACTGCACCAGAATGCATATATCATGTAAGTGACCTCGTGTGTGCCTACGGACATGTAAAAAGAAAAGGGGGCAAAGCAAACCATACGAGGGCACACACAGCCACAGAAGAGTGCCAGACAAAAAT